AATGCTATACCCTGTAAACGATTCCCTCTGAATTAGCTTTTGTTCAGTTCAGTAAACTGTTTTTCTTCTATAAGTGTCCAGGTTCGACTCTCGATGAATCTTGGCATACTTTGAATTCCTATAGGGTATTGCTTTAGCGGTGGTCTCAAACAAGAACCGGTCGTGCATTAAAGGTGAGTCGTTTGTGGTTGTGTTCTATGACTTTCTGGATCCTACTGGTCTGGGACTAGCTTATCTGAGGTTTGAAATGATTTCCGAGGGTAGTTTCACTTTGATTTTTGACTTTTTCCAGGCTCTGACGAAGGCGATAAGGCGCCGAAACGTTAGCCAATAAAACTTTTATACCATCTTGGTTACGGCTAAAGCAATACCCTATAGGAATTCAAAGTATGCCAAGATTCATCGAGAGTCGAACCTGGACACTTATACCAAACTAATTTTTGTCAATGTTGTATGCCTAATTGTCACTAACACATTACGAAAAAAATGAGACCCAGTCTATACCTGTAACGTCCAAACACCTTCCTGATGAACTAGACATGTAGCAATACATCGCTGTTGTCCCAAATCCCATAACCGAACTGTAGCATCCGCGCTGGCCGAGAGACACTGAAGGGAACAGAAATTTTGACCATTGATAGTGAAAAATTGCGAACAAATTCATTTCTCTCCAAAAAACGACCACCATGCTAAAATATGAAAATGTACTTTTGTGCCATCAGGACTGATAACAACAGCTCGTATGTTCTCGGTGTGTCCCCGTAGCTTCATTATTTTCTGACACGTTCTGGGATCCCATATTCGAAGCACCTGTGAAAAATAACTGCTTCAAAAAGCATTCGCACATCCATCAACCTGAAGATGAAGCAGAAGAGTTATAGTGCCTTGTGCATGCATTCTTTAGGATTCTGGAGGCTTTTTCAGCAACCTACCACTGATTTTCAAACCTTAGAGCAGTACCGCGTACCGAGTTTTTATTTGTAGTGAAAGAATCACTTGTATAGCCGAATCCACAACTTGCTCCCTCAACTCGACAGCTCCCTCAAAGGGTGTATTCCAGTTATTTCTATATACCCATTGTTGACCTTTATCATCTCTTTCCCGCTCTCTCGGCTGTTCTGCAACCGGATTACGAATTTTTGTTTTCTTCACCGCCCATTCGGGCTAGTGACCCGCTGTGGCTGGATCCTAGCTCAGCTATAATGGGCCGTATCCTGTGCCCAATGCATCCACATCTGACAATGACCCTTTGAGTGACTCTTCAGGTAATACCAAACTCAAATAAACGAACAACTTGGGCCAGCAAATCATATGCAAAGGGATGCTAAAAAAGAGCACTTGAAAACAAAAATCGATGAGAAGCAAATTATTGATGACTTACCTTTTCCGTACTGCCGGACACTATCACAGTTCCTGAATCATTCATCGCCAATGCATAAATACTATTCTTACAACCCATGAGAGACGAGGCTGCAAACAAGATTCACTGTCTTTCAATACTATGACAGGTAAAACAATCCACTTACTGGTTACAGTATTGTTAGTAGTAGTAAGTTTCGTCAAGGTAGCTATGTCCCACAGGTAAATAGACTGGTCATATCCTGCACTAGCAGCACGTTCATGTTCTTTGGCGTATGCTAAGCAACTTACATAGTCCTGCAACGATTTAATGGTGAGCAGAAAAAATGACGATTGACGATTCCTAGAAACCAACCTTATGTGTGCGTAACGTTGACATACAGAAATGTTTTGTGGCATTCCAGACCTTCACCGTGGTGTCGTTAGAAGCTGACAACACTACAAAAGAAGTATCAACATGGGAAAACTGGTGGAAGTTGGACCTGGAGAGCGAAATTAAAATGAAGCAGGTAGTTACGCTCCACGCTACAAGCTGAATTAACATACGCGAAGGAAAACCATATGTCTATGGATCTATCTGAGACAAAGAAAGTCAGATAGACAGACAATCAGATATTCAGATAAGACTTATCTTGGATAAACAAACTTGATACAGGGTTTACAAAAGTAAACATACGTACAATAAGAGCGGTACTCGCTTGTTCTCACCACTTTGGCATGTTCCACAATACCCTGACTGCATACCTGCACAGCCTCTCAAGTAACAATGTAGTAATGAACTTACAAAATCGTCCATTACAGCAAAGAATCAAGTCGTTGATCCAATCTGTATGATGTTCCATCGCTTGCACGAACGTTGCATGTTGCGGAACTGGAGGCATTCGTAATCGACGCACCTCCACTTCGATGTGACGGCCATGCTTCCTTAATTTTTTGAAATCATGGAAAGCATAAAGCATGGTGAGTTGACTGGAAGTGCTGGAGTTCCAGAAACCTGAACACACACCAAAGGGGCACAATTATTTAATTGCTGGGTAAATCGACCAGAAGAACGGAATCCATCAGACAAAAGCTCACTCATATCGCAGTATAAAGCTATTTGAGCAGAGATGTTCGAGAAGTGTCTCGTAACATAGTCATGATAATGCGTCACAGCGTCCAGAGGCTTGATCGATACATTATTTTTGCTTTCAGCAAAATGAAGTCAAAATGAATGGAATTCAATTTGACCAATCAATCTTTGACCACCCAAAAGTTTAATCTCACATCCTACCTTCGTTCCAGCTGAAGGAACCTTCCATAAACGGATTATCGTATCATTTCCAGCAGAGAACAAACGATTTGTACTTGAGTCGTACTGGAGTGCAGATACGGCTGCACGATGGCGATTTTCGTTCTCATCCCGTATTATGAAGGAGACCTTGAATTTGTTTCTTGTGCTTTCTCACGTCACTCAAAAAGTCGACACAAACTAGATTTTTTTATCTGAACTAGATCACTTACAAACAAAACCTATTCTGATACAAAAGAAACCGTGCCATCACCTCCGAGGAGAATTGTTCTACGTGCGAGGTGAGCAGATCTGCAGCTGCAACAGCGTGTCATCTTCTCCACCAAAGTCATGGTACCATTACCCACCAGCCTGCCTGATCGAAGCTGAGGGTAGTGGTACCTGTGTACCTGTGTGCCGTTTTGCACGTGCTATACTCAATGTGCAGCACTTGCGTCGATACTAAGATTCCGGAAGGAAACTCGCTTTCAGTGGTAGAGAACAGCCAGAAGTGAGAGGACGCAATTGAGCAGCGCGCTTAGTTATGGTTAGGCGTGTGGCTGGCGGAGTGCAGAGACGGCACCCAAGTATCGCTAACCTCCAGCAACGTTCCGTGCTTTTTTTTAACAGGAGAAAGTGGCACGGTATTCCAGCTGCGACATTCCAGCTGCGATATTCCATTTTTAGCAAGGATCAGAATCTATGAAGATGTGCACAGCTTGTCTTTGAAGCGAGCTAAGCCAGGCGGGTATTTCACAACATCCTGCGCTTTTCGAAGCAAATATTTGGATGTTGTAGCAGTTCAGCCCTGTTATGGTCAGCTTCAACAATAACTATCCCGAAAGCTATATGCTCACAACAAGGGCAAAATAGGATCTCTGAAGAAAGCGAGATTGTGTGTTCAAGAGCACGCCTACCTTCATCTTTGGTTTTCCACTCCCATTGACAGCTGCCATTGCACATCTCTCAAACAGTTACCGCGCGAGAAGCTTCATAACGACTGCAAATTGTAATTAGAACAGAATCAGCTGCACATACTGGTAGCAACTATTTTGAATGGCACTTCAGGTGCCTGGAGGCGGGATACTATTGCGACATATTAACTTACGACTTACGCCGGGCGAGCGCGGCTTCGCCGCGCTTTTCTTTCACATATTTCTAGACTCAACTGATATCCGCCTTTTGTTCTGTACTCCACTTTTTTCCGGTGAAGTACTCTTGAGCTATTTTACAGATTCTTCGTCTGACTCCGCCCACCTCGGAGCAGGCCCCGCCCACAATGTTTGTGCCCCACAATCCTCACCGGCGACCCTCTGCTGACCTTAATCCACTTTTTCCGGTCTTCGGAGTGCTCTGGAACCGTTTTACAGACCTTTTTGTCTGGCTCCGCCCACCTCGGAGCAGGCTCCGCCCACAATGTTTTTGCCCCACAATCCTCACCTCTGCTGACCTTAATCCACTTTTTTCCGGTGTCTGGAGTGTTCTGGAACCGTTTTAGAGATTTTTTGTCTGGCTCCGCCCACCTCGGAGCAGGCTCCGCCCACATTTTTTTGCCCCACAATCTTAACCGACGACCCTCTGCTGAACTTAATCCACTTTTTTCCGGTATCTGGAGTGTTCTGGAACCGAGCTACAAACTTTTAAAATGAATACCCTGCGATTTAGGGCAAGCTCCGCCCACTGTGGGCGGGGCTTCCATAGGTCAAGTGTGCTTTTTATTTCTTGTCCCATGCCCTACCTATCCAAACAAACGAACAAACAAATAGACAAAGCGAATTATATATATGGGGTGATTTTTTATGTCATGGAAACACAACCGCTTGAAGTAAAACTTCAACAACACATTCCGCGGTCAACGCTCGTCGCGTTTTTGGGTAGAAATATGATCCCAAATATGCTAACCAGTGAACACAAATGGTGATATATCGTCCATAAGCCCTTAATAAGATCCCAGTATTGGATGAGTGAACCTAGAAGCGAGACCCTGCCATGCGGACGAGAGAACAGAGACGAAGATGATAGAATAGAAAGACGAGCTGAAAAAGCGAGCATGCCCTACGTAGTGGATCCAAAGCAGGTAGAGGAGTCGTATTTGTCCGTGTAACTGTACTTTGGTTGATCAGAAGAGAGGCCCTCTCCCATCACTTCACGGTTAGACGTGCACTGGCTCAAGGGTAGAATGATGACAGATCGGCCCCACACAAAATGAACCCAACACGCCCATCGGCGTTTATAGAGGTGAAACCGTTCGCACACCTCGGCTTTAATGGGTGAGGCAACTTCTACGAGTAGCGTTCCATTCCTATAGCCTTTTTCCTCCGTGCTCAGACTTCCTAGATGCCCGGCGAATGTGTGTGACATAGACAAATTTTGTTACGTGCGATTAAAATATAGCTTTTTTGCTTCTTTTTTCCTCCACACAGCTCCAGGCTGCGTCTATGCGCCTCCAATCCGCTGTGTAGTGTTCCTCATTCATACAGTCTCTTTCGACAGATACTGGAGCGTGTGCAGAATACTGGGTTCGGTGCGGCGTCAGCCCGATGTCCTTCGAAGGGGTTGAAGATGGAAAGCGAAAACAACTGGTATGGAAAAGTGCTGGCGCTACGCCAGGACCCTCCCTCCTGACACGACCCTGCTTTCACAGCGAAAAAGACTGTCTGATTACCTGATGGCTACACCGAAGATGACCACAGGAGAATGCACAATCGTTGTTGTCACATTTCCTTTACCTTTACAAAAATGGATGGCTCTATATAGTCTTTGTCAGGGCTTGAAATGAGAACGGAATGGATGACTTGCGTGCTCAGTCGCCTTGAAAATCCTCAGGCAAATGTCACCAGATAACTAATGCACGTGTGTGGATCAGTATATCGGGTAACCTTTTTTTACTATTTCAGGCTTTCAAATCCAAAACGTCATCGAATCATGTAATATTAAAACGAAATACGGCAACGATATTCATCATGCTAAGCATCCACAATCATTCATGAATTATCACGTATATGATTACCTCAATTACTCTTCATCAATGATAATTCCGAAGGCAGAAACCTGTATTATTCCGAGATTGAAAACTCTCAATGGTTTTCAACCTTTCAACCACTGAATTACAACACTTTTTATTATACTTTGATAGAATAACACAACAACGTCACGCAACAAGCATCCATCTTTCCATTGGAGTGTTTGCTTTTGTCAATAGATAATTTACAAGGGAAAAAAAATAAACATCATGTTCTCACCAACATATAAAGAAAACACTCTTGTGATCGGAACATCTACAAGAAACTTGGCTGAAATCTAGTTGAAGGAGTATCAAGTATCAAAACAGTGGCCAATATGTGTTTCTGCGAACTAAACAATCTACACCCGAAATTCGTTATCCTTCCACGGGACAGCGAATGCTAACAACACAACATTAAATGACAATAAAAAATCTGCACGGGAACGATAATATCCATACAAACAGAAAATACAACAAATTTTGCCGGCTCTTGCGCAAACTCCTTCAATCTACGCAAAGCTGTCGTCACGATCAGCCATTGCTATACCAAGAGGATCGTCGAATGCCTGAATTGTTAAAACAATTAAACCCACTGGGTAAAAATGTTGCCAGGTAGGCGTCAAAAAGCAAACCTTGAAGTTGTGGAAGTGCACCGGACGGTGGTCCTCGTGGTAGTATTCCTTCGGATTGGCAAGGCATACATCATACTTCATCGACTGCGCCCACCGCTGACCTGAAGAAAGAGCGTAAATGAAGATTTGAGCGAAAATGATCTCTTATTTGGGACCAAAGGATTGGTCCCTCCTTTACACAATTCAACGGAAGAAGACAAACAATTACCTTGGAAGTTAAAATTCCAAACGCCGGAGCTTGGTACCATGAAATAGCCGAGGAATCTGTCCGACAGCAGCATCTGCACCTTTTCATAATGAGTCGGCATATAGCCCTGTAAAACATTCAAATGAACCAATAAGTGTAAGTGTTATTTATATAAATACCGCAGATGAATTTGTTATAGAAAACAAAAACTATAAACCACCTTTGGGTTGTTTCCTCGGTCAGTGTTTGAGCGGCCCCACTCATATCCTGAAGGTGTGAGCTTGTAAGCAGTCAAAGACACGGACCCCGGAGTGAAACTAAAAAGCATGGACATGAATTATTGAACATGAAGAGCACGTATTAAAACGGAATTCTCAAGAATTATTATTGTGCAACTACAGCTGTTTATACAGTCCCTACCACGCTAAAAGTGTTCGTTAAATTACCTGCAAGTTATGATGACGGTCTTCTCTCCATCCCAACTTGCATTTTCTGACAATATTCGAGCGTGTGCGGTAACGTCTTGAGGTGACAGCTGCGGTAACTCGTTAGGTTGCGTGTGCATCCTGACAAGTTTGGTTTTGACAAGGAATACTGTTTTCAGAACAAAAGTGTCCACAGTATAGACCTTCCAAGAATAAATAACTTACCACCCCAGGGGCTCCAGGTCTTTCAGCAGTTCATGCTGTGGAAGATGTGAAGGGAATTGTACTTGTTGGTGATTTCCTGTTTGAGGCACCAAGACAACGCATCGAATTTCCTTTACTTGAGGATTGTCAGCCGGTGAGACACCATAGAGGAAGCCGCCAATCTAGAATAGAGAACGAAAAGCTAACTGAAGAAGTAGTGGCCCTATTCAAACGTGATTACTCAAAATCTTTAAGCAACTTTTCCGTTCTCACCTCTGCGAATCCCTGCTTGATCACTTCTACCTCTCAAGTTTGTTAACAGACACCTAACCTGATCTGCATTCCCCAATTATTCCCATCACTATGTTATCGAGACGTTGCGTATTTTTTTTCTCAGCTTTTCTGCTAGCATTTTCCACGGCATATTACAGCTTAGAAGTATAACAAAATTAACCGGCGATATCCTAGTCACATCTCAACGCATTCCCCTAATCCCCCAACAAAACTCTTACTCCATGGAAATTGGTTTGGGTAGACTCACTTGTGTTCTGAGATCCGATATGGTGATAAATTTCTTCAGGACATTCTTTGGTAAGATGTAGGTGAAGCCTGTATCCTTTACATCGTCGGAGCTCACATAGATGTGTTGCGTTCTTAAAATAGGCAGTTACCAGTTTGGTACAATATTTGTCGAATTGCTCAAATTAGCAGAAAACAATGCAGTTGTCATCAACCGAAGAACCGAAGAAACCTACCTCAAGTGCAAGTTTGTGGCCGATATGGCACGAATTCTCCATTCTGTACGACTAGCGAACGTTGCTGCTTCATAATTCGAGGTAGTGGCAGCCGTATTATTTCATCTCCGTGTTGTTCACAGTACGAGTTGTCGTGGCCGTAACCTTAAAATAGTGAACATATAATGAGGGATGACTTTTTTACCCGTTGACACTGTTCATATAGTCACTGTTCCAAACAGGGTCGAAATCGTGCTATCTGTAGAACAGGGGACTGAATATTGCACACATTATGCGTCTATGAAACAGATGATGTCAAGCTTGATTTGCTCATAAAATGGAAGAAATTGGAATCTTTCCAGATGTTTATATGAATTGTTTGTTTTGTGAAAGTTTAAACAAACTGCAGCTAGCCTAGTTCTATCTCATTAGTCTTCCAAAAAGCAAATGGCACAAGAAAAAACGGCACGTTACATTTTATGTATCAAGCAGCTGTTTATATGCCTTACAAAACCCGAAACGTGCAAGGCCCATGTGTAAGCGTTACCTGACTTTGCTCCTTTGTTTGCTTCTCAATGTCGGCAATTTGTTGCCGTTGCTGACTAGGAGCTGATATTTCCATACCAAGGATAATGTCTCTAACTTCGGACTGCGTTAACGATGCAACGTTCACGTTGTTCTTCTTTCCATAATCAGCCAAAATCATGTCTTTCAGAGCCAATTCGACCTGAAAATTATAAAGATTAAATTATTGGATACTTACTGCGTAAGATATCGGATTGAACGCATACCTTCGATTCCTTTCTGAGAACGACTATTCTGGGAGAGAATTTGACCTTTTCCTACGAGGAAAAACCCAAGTTACTTTTACTCAGAAGATTTATTTGTTTATAGTTGATATGGTCGCAGGCCCTAGAGACGGTATCGAAAAACGTGGAATGAGACTCCCCCCCCCCCCCGTGCGCCAGTGCGTTTCCCATCAATAATGATGGGCTCAGTAAGGAAGGAATCATTAGCAGGAACGCCGCGGGCAGGTCACAACACGCCTCCCGACACGAACTAGCCGCGGGTTATGATGTGCAGTAATTCATACCTTGATCCACTCCTCGTCAATAAGAGACGGCCAGATGTGATGAGGCTCGGTGATCGTCGTCTTGTCCGGCTTCAATATCACCTAAACACAGATGAACATTAGACTTCAATCGATTATATGAACAAAAGTCGATCCATACAACCAAGTATTTACTGACCTTTGTTTTGTCGGGGTTGATATGCATACCACGCATAATCAGAATAACTCGAGAAAACGCAGTATAACTTGATATAGTCTGAAATCAAAAAGTTTTGCAAAAAGAATAAGAGAACGTAGATGAGCTGGAAAGCGGAAGTCAAAATACAAGTAGAAAGAGAGCTCTTAAGGCTTGAAACTAAACACGATTTAAATACACACCTTAAGCCAGTCGTCGTACAGATTGAACAGCACCATCTGAGGTTCAGTAGCTTTCAAGATTAGATCGCCGAACTTCTCAACCTGAACTTATCACCTTAATTAGCAAACAGCATCTTTCAAAAGTTCCGAGTAGAATTAGACGACATGTACGTTCATATAGTAGAACTGTGCTCATATGAGACAAAGCACCGATCTGTTCAATGATCGTCTATTCTTTCCGAGATACCTCAAGCTGCCGAACAATGCTGTGAACGGCATTTGCTTGAAACTCGGCCAACTTTACCAGATGATAGCGGCCGTTCAAAGATGGGCTCAGTGGCACAAGAGTTCAACAGTTTTTAACAATCCAATGTGCAACTGTCTTTAAGGGGCTTGTCGTAATATCGGCACAAATGTCACATTTCGAGTCATTACTTTTGGACGGTTCACATGCCTGATCGTAACACATTCAGCAGCACAGTTACACATTGGGTGGAAAGTACCATAATGGGAAGGGATGCAATCTAAGATGCTCAAGCACCCTATCAACTTGATGAGGAGAATTATAGCTACACAGGTGGTGGGGCGTTCGCAAATAAACAGCGCATTTATGCCAACTGGTGAGCAAGAGGAAGTGGAAATGCACGCTCATCAGACCAACAATGAAATGAGGGGATAATTCTTATAAGGCGGACTACTGCACTGGTACCACTATAAGCCTTCATACTTTGTAGCACCCGAGACTAGAAGAACAGGAGAGATGAGCATGCGCGTTAAAGGGGAAGTATTG